AATATTCTAATTTATTTGGAAATATCTTGATCTGCTTGTTAGAACTATAGGCATCAATCTGTAACTATAACAGAGAAGTAGCTTTATGTTAATCCAGGTAACATGTCATTTAGAACAAAAACTTTTTTTGCCCTCTTGCAATTTCAGTTGTTACAATAAGGCCGGCCTTCAGAGTCGGCAACCATGATGTCACTTGATGGGGGCTGGAAGGGGATTCCTTTCCCAAAGTGGTTCACTCTCCATTTTTATGGGGTCTGAAATTATATCATTGGACATTTATTTCTTGGATACTGAAGGTCTTTTGTTCACCAAGAAGAATCTATTTAAAAAGTGCAAATACTCATGGATGGGTGACTCATTAAGCATTACATTATATTTTAACTTGACTGCTAGTTGAGAGTATTTTGGACATGTTGGTTTTGTCCCTCACTCTTTCGTTCTAGTAATGGGTTATCTCTTCCTTTAAGGAAGTGCTTCTCTCCAAATCCAGCCCTGTGCTTCTGGTGGGAGCTGCCAGTCAGAAAAAAAAAAAAAAATTTTTTTTAAGATTTTATTTATTTATTTGACAGAGAGAGAGATAGTGAGAGAGGGAACACAAGCAGGGGGAGTGGGAGAGGGAGAAGCAGGCCCCCTGTGGAGCAGGGAGCCCGATGCGGGGCTCGATCCCAGGACCCTGGGATCACGACCCAAGCCGAAGGCAGACGCCAAACGACTGAGCCACCCAGGCGCCCCCAGAACATTCTTCTTTTCCATCCTGATTTCCCTCTACCCTGCCACCCAGTGGCAGGTGCGTGACTTAAGCTTGTCCAACCATAGTTCTCCACCCCTGGCCACAGACTGGTTCATGTCCCCGCATGGGTACCCAACCTAAGCCAGGACAGAGTGCTTTATTGTACTTTTTCTAACTGGAGTTGGTGGAAAAATGCTTTCTTTTCTCTCTGGAGGAAAGATGAGAAGAGTCCATAGTTGCTTATGGCCATGTCTCTTCTGACATCCTGCTTGAGAGAATGAAGTCTCAATGAAGAGAGAAGCAGAGTTGAGAGACAAAGAGTGTTCTGATGGTATCTGAGACTCTGTATCCATTGGAATATATGGCTAATGGCATGCCCTTTCTTAGTTTGTTTACACTTGTGCCAGTAAATTACCCTTTCTCCTTAAGCTGTTATGTATGACTGGGACATCTGTCATTTGCAAACAGAGGTCTGAGAACTGAAAACAAACATTTTATAAAAGGACACAAGATAACTAGGGGAGGGGTGTTGTTCTGGTCTAGGAATGTGTGTGGGAGGTGGGTCAATTCTAATTGTTGTGTGGCTAAATGGAGGCCATTGTGTGTTAAAGTTACCAACATCTTTGCAGACTCTACTTTCAAGTGTATTGAGGGTAGGACAAGGTGACCAAAGTCTCTGAGAATGAAAGCTAATATGACTCTGGAGCCAAAAGTGCTTTGACATTCTCTTGGGCTACTGAATTCGGGTTGAGGAGCCTGGGAGCAATGGGAGAGCAATAAAGTGCAAATATTTGATTTAAGTCAGTCCACTGACTCAGTTTTTCCACCAAATAAGAGAAGCAACATATAGGTCCAGAAAGAGTCACTGTTTTCATCCATAATTGACCTTGAATACCTATCCTTATTTAAAGTTATATCTGTTCATAATACATTAGGGTTTTGTGTTTTTTTCCTGTACAGGTACCTTTTTTTTTTTTTTCCTAAACAGAAATACAGAGAGAAAATGGGCAAAGGTGGGATTTCATGTTTTCTACCCTCCCCCCAACCACTGGAGTCCTGGTACCTCAGTGTGATTTTAATTTTGACCTACTAAAATATCAAAGGGACAAAATTGTTATTAGACAGCAAATGATATATTTGTCAACAATTAGAATTATAAACCTTGCAATAAGATCTTTTTTCACTGGATTCAAAATATAGTTGAGAAGTTGAAAGCTTCTCTCAGGCGAACTGGAGAACTTTCTCCAACGTGATGTACAATCATTATCAGCTTCTTGTGATGCAACTAACTTGAAATCTGACTATGATGCCCTAGAATAAAGACCTTTAAGTGGATAACATTCTTGGAATGGATTTTATTCTCTAAGTTTTCATGGCGGTAAAAGCAAATTCATAAGCTATCATGTTCTGCGGGAAGAGAAAAGCAAATTGACCTTCAGCACGTGTTTCAAGATGACTGTGTTGAATGCCATTTCAACCCCGGGAAAGTGCTGTTAAGAATAGAACATTAAAACCAAACTCATTTTTTTTTTTTTAAAGATTTTATTTATTTATTTGAGAGAGAGAGAATGAGAGAGAGCACATGAGAGGGGGGAGGGTCAAAGGGAGAAGCAGACTCCCTGCTGAGCAAGGAGCCCGATATGGGACTCGATCCCGGGACTCCAGGATCATGACCTGAGCCGAAGGCAGTCGCTCAACCAACTGAGCCACCCAGGCGCCCAACCAAACTCATTTTAAAAGATTTTTATTTATTTATTTGAGAGAGAATGAGAGAGAGAGAGCACATGAGAAGGGGGAGGGTCAGAAGGAGAAGCAGGCTCCCTGCCGAGCAGGGAGCCCGAAGCGGGACTCGATCCAGGGACTCCAGGATCATGACCTGAGCCGAAGGCAGTCGCTTAACCAACTGAGCCACCCAGGCACCCTTTTTTTTTTTTTTTTTTTTAAGATTTTATTTATTTATTTGAGAGAAAGACTGAGATAGAGCATGAGAGGGGGGAGGGTCAGAGGGAGAAGCAGACCCCCTGCGGGACTCGATCCCGGGACTCCAGGATCATGACCTGAGCCGAAGGCAGTCGCTTAACCAACTGAGCCACCCAGGCACCTATACCAAACTCATTTTAAAGGTCCACCAAGTGGCCAGGATGCTGGACGTGTCTCCCTTTCCGAAGCCACCAACATCACCTACTTTGCCCTCCTCCATTTATTTCCACGGTCCTCCTCTTTTTCCAGAATTATTTATGCGTAATAAAGGAAGCCAGAGTAGGAATAATGGCCTGTCTCTGGCTTTACAGGAGCGCCGCACGTGAGAGGAAGACTTTATCGGGGGACCACGGGCTTCCAAGAGATCCACCAGGCGGACCGAGGCTGGATGTCGCTGCGCAGAGCGGAGACCGAAGAGCCTTCCACGTCCGAGGTGCGCAGGCGCGCTGGGTAGGGTGAGCGGCCGGCGGGAGGCTCCCTGCCCGGGTGTTGCTCACACTTGTCTAGCCTGGGGCAAAGCAATCGACGTCCCCGAGCCTCCGCTTATTCTTCTGGAATCCATAAAGTTACTTACTTCAGAGGTCATTCTGAGACTTAAATACATGTGAAGTGCTTAGCCAAATGCCTGGCATGTAGTATTAAATGTTAACTCGTATCTTCCCTTTTTATTTATTTATTTATTTATTTATTTTTATTATTTTTTTTTTTAAGATTTTATTTATTTATTTGACAGAGAGAGAGACAGCGAGAGAGGGAACACAAGCAGGGGGAGTGGGAGAAGCAGGCTCCCCGTGGAGCAGGGAGCCCGATGTGGGGCTCGATCCCAGGACCTGGGATCATGACCCGAGCCGAAGGCAGACGCTTAATGACTGAGCCACCCAGGCATCCTGTATGACATTTTCTTTTTTTTTTTTTTAAAGATTTTATTTATTTATTTATTTGAGAGAGAGAGAGAGAAACAGCATGAGAAAGGATAGGGTCAGAGGGAGAAGCAGGCTTCCCACGGAGCAGGGAGCCTGATGTGGGACTCGATCCCAGGACCTGGGATGGTGACCCGAGCCGAAGGCAGAAGCTTAATGACTGAGCCACCCAGGCATCCTGTATGACATTTTCTTAAGTCCTCAGCTTCATCTTTATCCCGTCTCCAACTCAGATCCTTTCCTAACATATAAAGTAACAGGTAGACTTCTGAAAAGTCTGAGCTGAAGGCAGATGCTTAACGACTGAGCCACCCGGGAGCCCCAACTCGTATCTTTCCTTTTTATTTATTTATTTATTTATTTGTTTGTTTGTTTATTTGTTTATTTGTTTATTTTTATTATTTTTTTTTAAAGATTTTATTTATTTACTTGACAGAGAGAGACACAGCGAGAGAGGGAACACAAGCAGGGGGAGTGGGAGAGGGAGAAGCAGGCTCCCCGTGGAGCAGGGAGCCCGATGTGGGACTCGATCCCAGGACCTGGGATGGTGACCCGAGCCGAAGGCAGAAGCTTAATGACTGAGCCACCCAGGCATCCTGTATGACATTTTCTTAAGTCCTCAGCTTCATCTTTATCCCGTCTCCAACTCAGATCCTTTCCCAACATATAAAGTAACAGGTAGACTTCTGAAAAGTCTGAGCTGAAGGCAGACGCTTAACGACTGAGCCACCCGGGAGCCCCAACTCGTATCTTTCCTAATGACAGCAGTCGGAGGGGCTTTCCTCCCCGAGCGTGTGTTTATAGTCCCTTAGAGAAGACTTGTTCAAAACTCCAAACCATAGTGGCCATTACAATTCTTTGAACCACCCAGATTTCCTCCTCACCCAGCCTTCCCTGCTCGTTTCTGGCTCATTCATTGGCCGGTTGTTCAAACACTCCCTTTTCCACTTCCCTTTGCCTGCCCGAGCATACAAGCCTGTCTACACTTGAAGGCAAATTTCTCTCTTCACTCCACTCCAGAGCTTCATCCCTCCGGTCTTCCTTAGACTCTCCCCTTCCCTCCAGCCACCCAGCTTTTGTGCAAAGACACTTACCAGATCTATTTAGTCCAGCTCTTCAGCTTCAGAGACTTCTCCTCTAAGGAACTCCTTGTTCATTCCCTACCTCACGTACAGTGAAAGCGAACCCAGCCTGGAGTCAATAATTTGTGTCATGTCCGCTGTTCATGCGGATGGAGGTCAAGCCAGGCCAGGCCAGGCCAGGACGCTCCCTGGCACGGTGGCCCTGCCTTTTCCTCTGTGGCCAATAAAACCATATACCTCACGCAGGCCTGAGGGCTGGGGTGCGACTGGTCACGTGGTAATACTGACCTCTAGGGGCTGGCTTCCCTTCACATAGCGTCCTTATCTTCTCATTGAGCTCCAGAACTGTGATGGCAGCCTCTTGCTTAGCTGTTGCCAAATCCGTTTGCAGCTTTTTCAGTTTCCTTTTGTGCTTTAGTTTCTTGAAAAAAAAAAATAAGAGTTTCCGTCACTAGAGACAGACATATCAAAGGAATAAAAAGAACTGATGAAGTCTGAACAAACATGGCCTTTGCGGGCCAGCTTCGGTGAACTGCTCCCTGTTTATCTAGCTTAAGTCCTTTCTGAGATCTCTGAAACAGAGTGCGTGAGCCCCTCTCAGAGCGTTCCTATCCCCAGCGACGAAAGCCACTCTCTACATCAGAGTATCTTTTACCCTCTTGAAGGGTTTTAATCTGCATCTGAACCTTGTATTTTGTTTGCTTATAATAGAGGCAATTAGAGAGCAACTCTAGTTGGTGGTTGGCATTTGACCACGGAGGTGCCAATGCCTAAAAGTGTCTGATTTTTTTTTCAGTCTGTAAGTAAACTCACGTGAAGTAGTGAACATATTTCAGAGAGCCTTGCTTCTGTGTCATTTTCTACCCTAATACCATAAAGGTGTGCATTCCAGTAGACCCTGAAGAGTGTGATTCTACCACGAAATGCTGACGTTTACAGATATTTACTGGGGTATCTATATAGGGAAAGTGGTCAGGGGTATAAATCGTTAAGCAATAGAAGGCAGGAATTGCTTGCTGTAAAATAGTCTGATTTATGACATCTAAGTCTTTGAAAGAACTACTTGAGGAAGTTGTTACCTAACCAAAGGATTCACCTGGAGATTTTATGACTAGAAAGCTCTTTTGTGGATTTCAAAATGAAATCAATTTGTCAGAATTAGATTTATCTGTCACTGCGGAAAAACTGTTGTGAAAAGTGTTGTATTTACACTTATGTGTTGTTGCCTTTCCACTGAAGAGCTCACTTTGCCAAGTCTTTGTGGACTGGTAATTAGGAAGCCCAGAATATAAATGACTAACATTTCTTATCAGACATAAATCTTGAGATAGGGAAAGGAATGGTTTTTGCACATCAGGGGAAACCTCAGGTAGTAGGGAATCACTTCCTTTTTTTTTTTTGAGAGTAAAGCGGGTAAAATCAGTTCATCAAAGATGGGATTCAATAGACATAGACCACCCATTTTAAAGGCAGATTGTCTTTCAGACCAAAGCAGGATTAGGATTAACGAAAGCTGAATTAATGGCATACATGTGGCTAAAAGAGAATGTATTATTCAAATGAGAATGGTAGTCATGGAAATTCTTTAACGGGGGTTAGAGGGGTAGAATCCGGCATAGTTCACCAGCACAGTCCAGGCATTAGAGAGGTGCCCTGATCCACACCAGGAGTTCCTGGTCTGTTCAGCAGTTCTCTTAGAGTATAGTCAGTATTCACATACTCATTTCATCTTTGTACTAGTTACAAAGCAGCCCTTTGGTGTCAGGCACAGTGCGGGCCAGCTGTTGAAACATCAACGCTGATAAGGCTCCATGTCACTAAGACCTTCTTACTATTTCCTGTCCTCTGAGTCTCTGTTCACCAAAAGCCTTCACAATTTGACCTGTTCTGTAGGTTAGTTCAGAAAGAGATTGAGCTGATCAACAAATACGTGGGTCTGGGTATTTGATAGCTAGCTATGTTTCCCATAGTAAATTACTAGGTTGGCATGCTCATCAATTACCGCCCCCCACCACCCCCGGTAAGTTCACGAGGACCTCCTCCATCCCAGGCCTGGGGGGATAATGCCTGTGAGACCCCTTATGGTCCTCAGCGTCCTTTCCTGATGCTACTTCAAGACTGTCCCGTGCTCAGATTTTTCATATTTTGTTTTTACCATTTAGAACCTTGGGGCTAGAAAGTGGGAGGAATGATACAGAAATGAGAAATGAGGGCAAGAGTGGCAAAGGGATTCAGAAGAGAGTGCTAATTAAAAGTATCAGAAAAGAACCGATAATGATAAGGGTGTGCAAACTGATGCATGAGGGTTAAGTGTGTGGATGAATGCACTTTACATGGACATATGTAAAAAGGTAAGATGGGGTGATGGATGGAAAGAGATACTGATAGATAGGTGAGTAATGGAAGATAACAGAATGGTAATTTGTCTAGTTATTAAGTATATGGGTGTTTACTCTAAAATTCTTCCAACTTTTCTGTATTTGAAATTTTTTATAATGAAATACTGAGAGGAGTAAGAAGGAGAGTTTGTGTTTCCTTACATTGCTTCTCTCTTAATTCTTAATAGATGGTATTCACATTCTTTTCAGAATGTGTCACAATGATTCATATGCAGATCAGTACTTTTCTGGAAACTTTTCTCAAAGTAGGCATTGATAGTAAATAAACAAAAACAAAAACTAAAAGCAACTTGGAGAGATTTGGTGAGGTGGCCACCAGGATCTGGTGTGGTGTCACCAAGAAAAAGTCTTATCAAGCTACATTTCTGTTTTGACAGGATAACTTGATGGATAGAGTGACTTGATGGCTATGTCTTAGTGGAAAGACGAGATGCTTCTCAATATCATTTAAACATTTCAGCTTTTCAGTTAAAAAAAAACCTAATTCCTTTAAAAAAAAAAATCCAGTTTCCAGGGGCACCTGGGTTAGCTCAGTCGGTGAAGCATCTGACTCTTGGTTTTAGCTCAGGTCATGACCTCAGGGTCGTGGGATCAAGACCCACATTGAGCCCCTGTCTGGCTCTTTGCTCGGCAGGGAGTCTGCTTGGGATTCTCTCTCTCCCCCTCTCCTTCTGCCCCTCCCCCTGCTCATGAGCTCTGTCTCTCTCTAAAATAAATAAATACATCTTAAAAAAAAAAATCCAATTTCGAGACCACCTTTTTGTCTTTCTCTTACAGTGATCGTATGCTTTGCCTTTATTATTATTATAATATTTGTATATTTGCCATATGATCTGAGAAAGAAACTGAGGATATTTAGTTTGGAGAGGACAGTATACAGGGGAGTTACGACATCTGACTTCAGTAATCTAAGGTACTAGTCAAGAGGAAAGGAAGTTGAGTTAAATAGTATTATTCTAGAGATACCATGGGGAACAATGGGTAAAAAATTCAAGAGGAGGCAGATTTTGGCACAGCATGAGAAAGTACCCTCCAACAATCAGTGCTGTATTCATAACAAGATAGGATGGGTCCTGGCAAAGGCCTCCTGCTCTGGGAATGATCAAGCAGAAACTGGAGGAACATCTTCAGGCAGGCCCATGGTAACCTCTGGGACCTGGGTCGAGAGGTAATTAGAGGTCTGGCTTACCCCCAATTCTTTCCTCCTTTGGCTTCCTCCAGCCTCTGAGAGACACAGCACATGCATGAAAATGAGAAATCTCAGCCCTCAAAGTCTCTAAGGTGGGTACACTTTTCAGGGATCCCTTAAAAATAACTCTAGAATTTGTGGGATGTTGCATAAGAGGGTCAAAAAGGCCTGCGGGGCCTTTAGAATTCAAGGATGATTGTGACTCAAGATGTGCAAACTTTATTATTAAGCTCTAAAGGAAAGGGGAAGGGACATTTAGATTTAAGTTAAAAATTGAATAAAGAACCTAAATTGATTTCTGTTGGGACCTGCCGGTTATTCAGATAAATTTTAAAAGGGTTTAACATCTTTGTCTTTTTTTTTTTTTCCCCTTTTCTCCAGGCAGAACTGCTGTATGCCATTAATTCATAGCTCTAACCAAGCCCTTTGGGCATTTCTAAAAATTTAGTTTGCCGACATGTTTTTTATTAGTCATAGACATCAAATGATTTCAGCAACGATAATATTTTCCTTCGCTTTTTTGGCATTCTCTAGCCAGGCAACCCAAGTGTTGTACTTGAACCTAATGGAGTCTGTTATTGTCTCCTTAGTAACTAGGAACTACCCCCCCGCATGATTACTAAAAGGAAAGGAAGGCTTTATAGCTTGGAGGTAAATTCCTATTACCTTGCTCTTTTCCTACTTCTCCTACAGGGTGGACAGAGGGAGGAAATCATGTATTCGTGCAATGTTTTGAAAAGGAAATATCTATCCATATCACATTGCTGAATAGCTCGCATTATACCAAGTCATCGGGAATTAGAGATCATCAGGGAACTATTTATAGATGAGTTTCAACACGAAGTTGCCAGCATTGTTTAAAATTTCCTGGTCTTTCCACACACTTTGAACTGTGGCCTCAGATTCTAAGGCAACTATTGGCCCTGAGAAATTGGGCCGGGCACATGACATCTCCAGGCCCTTGATCCCATAGCATATAGCTGGTGGCGAGTCAGTGACCGAACACCAAAATGACAGTACCCAGTACTATGTTCACTAAGTGGCAGATAGGTCTTTCTTTTTTGTCACTATTTCTTGAAATACACCGGGGAAGCTCTCAACCCTCCACTAAAAACACTGAAGTACCTTTTCTAAAGATGTCATTGTCACACTTTAGGAAATAAAATTTGTATTTCATTGAAAGCAAGATTTCTCATTTTCCAAGATTTGCCTTGTCTTCTTTCTTTCTCCTTCCCTATCTCCCACCACTTCCTCCTCCTTTTCCTTCTCCTAAATTAAGCTTTCTCCATAATTGCATTGATCTCCTCCTTGCTTTGTATGGGTAAACAACACTCGATGTCCTGAAAACAGATAAGCAAATAGCCTTGATCCAGTCTCCTGCCAGAGCTGGCCAGATGCCTGGCAAAGTAGGTAGCTGCCTCCATGGAATGATGTGAGGAACTTTCTAAAGCCCTACCTCTTCCTGCCCGTGGCCCTGTGGCAGGCTTGCTGGAGCATAGCTTTTTACCTTCCTTACTTAGCCTATATAACAAAGACAGGTTTTGTCTCCAGAGGGCCCCTGATAAAATGCTCACTACCAAGGACATACAAGAGAATTTGATTTGAATACAGGACATATAAGCAGATATCCTCTTTTATTTCTTTTCTAATAGCCCATTGTTAATAATAAAACTCATAAACGTGATATAGCTTTTGGATACAACTTGGCTTAAAAAATCAATTTCACAACTCTTACTTTGTTTTGTATTTATGCTATCCCCAGGTAAGTATTTAGAAGTCCAGGAATGGCAAATATGTGCCTCGTAGCTTCCTTTCTCCACCGTAGGCCTTTGA